TGATCCTTAGGTAGTTTGGAGAAATAGGTCTAATGATAGAAAAGTCTGATGACAAGACTGCAAGTCTGTTAGCGGTGTGTGGAGTAAAAAATGAGATGGTGATTCTGTTTTATCCAATAGTATATTTATAAGCTCAAGTTTATTGAATTGGTCTTTGGTAATCTTTTTTATATCAGTGTTGTTCAGAACCTAAAGCAATCAGCTGGTGTCTACCTGTAGTTTTAATGGGTTAACGTCATGCGGTTAACGTCATCAAAGTGGTTATCTGGAGGTCCTGGGTCCGAAAACCTTTTTTGACCGCACGCTCTATCCTGGTAGTTTATCAGTAATTGAAAATAAAGTAAAAGAATGGAAAGGATGTTCCTAGATAAAATAATGTATTTTTATTGGAAAGTATAGCTAGAGTTACTTTTACATTTTGACTCACAGTGAGTGATATCTAAGTAATGGTTTGGTACAAATGAAACTGCTCATATTTGACTGACCATTTCTCTGTTCCATCTTTATGCGTTGCCCTTAGGTCTCCTGGTCAACCCTTCACACTCGACATACATTTTAAGTTTGTCGGATCTTTTGCAAATTTAGCGTCGTGACAGGTTTATTTAGGCATGCGAACTTCAGTGGGTGTGTGGAAGACGCGATTTATAGATAGATATAAGTTGAAGTTATTGTGCGTCAAACAGTGTCCGTCTTCCCAACTACTGGGCCAACTTAACTGAACCACTGCCACTGAAGACGATTTATGAACACACAAGGTTTAGTGAATCCATTCAGTTCAGTTTCTTATTATACTCACTTTGATAACACTCGCCTTGCGTGCAAGAGTTCTGAAATTAGAACACCTCAATGAACCAGTGAATACACTTTATTGCGGAGTTATAAAAAGAACCATTTTCGATTGCGGTACATCTCAGGTGTACCCCTGATTGAACGAATTGCGGATTGAATCTCAAGAGGAAACCCGAAAGACTGTCAGTCAAAACTAATAGGTTTAACCAACCGTTCTAGTTTAAAAGATGTGAAAAATAAATGAGAGCAAAGTGTTGCCATCACAAACCAAAATTAATTCGAAAGATAATTGAATCGCTGATTGGTAGTGATTGTCAGCAATCAATAATATATGTGAAATAACCGCAAAGATATAAAAACATTAGAGCAGACAGTAAAACATATTTTCAAGCAACAAGTTCTGAAAGAAAGCACAATTGAAGAAAGAATTTTTTCTCCGATTGATCTCACAGGCTCTGACTTCCCTGATCAACTACTCCTTTGGACCGATCAGTGTCATATTTTGCGGTCATTTGGGTTCATCTGAACTAGCAACAGTTGGCCTGGCCAATTCCGTGTTCAACGTGACAGGACTGGCGGTAGTTATGGGTCTGCTCACAGCCTGTGACACACTTTTTCCACAGGTAAGAACAAATCTCTTTGAACAGGTTAATTACAACATCACAAACTTCCGAATTGCCTGCTAGTTGTAAAGGTTTGGAATAACTCATTCAATAGGGTAGCTAATAATTTCGGAAGAAGAAATAGACAAACGGCCAAAGAATACCATATTCAGATCTATTATTCGCTTTTGTATTCCTTCATCCTAACCTACTGCATTGTTTTTCTTGTACTTTTTAAGGTTTACGGAAGTCGCAACTTGGACAAAATGGGTCTTAATCTCCAACGGTGTAAGTCAGTTTGATCACCTGCATGCTTCACCATAGTATGATATATGTCATAGATTTCTTACTGTCCACCAGGTATCCTAATAGACGAAAAATGTGTAAGAACACGTTAGACTCCGAATAAATACATACATACACACGGGGGTTAGCACTGGTTCTGAGGTAGTAATCAAGGTAGCGAGAGTTGAAGAATTTAGTGATATTTTTAAACGCGAGGTGAAAAACGAACAATGGTTTTCACCGTTTTCCATCCAAGTTGTTACACAAAAGATAAATAAATTGAAATTATTAAGCGATTGTCACCCAGTGATTAGCTAATCCACACCATGAATATGCAAAAAGGTAGGGATGAGAACTTGTGATAGACATAGAAGCCGCAGCATGGGTGTAACAATAAATGTTTAACTCGCCTACTAATTATCGTATTCGTTCTCGAATTTGCATAGTACTTGTAGCAAAGATAATTGCTTAGCCTAGGCAAAGCGCTAATGTGCACATACCAGTAAAAAAGGTGAATAACGCAATGTGTAGACGTGAGTAAGGCTATAGCGGAATAGCTTTGATGTAGTTATTTGTTTTATTTCCAATTGAACACATTGGGTAAAGCAAATTATATTTTTAGTAAAACACCAAAAAATTTACAATCATTCCGAATTTTTCTTGTTCATGTTCACGTTGAAAAATATTTTGATCTATCCGCGATAGTGGGAAGCGGAACGATATCAATGTGATAAGGTTTCTTTTTTTCCGGTAACACGATTTAATGAAATAAGAGAACTCCATTCGCATTTAATGTAGTATTCACTTTTATTTTGTTTCCTTCATTCATCCATGAAACTGGAGCAGCTCTAATCCTCACGTCACTCTGCTGTCTACCGTGTTGGGCGCTTCACCTGGTGATCGAACCTATTCTTTTGATATTAAAACAGAACCCACAGATTTCGAAGTAAGTGAGCCCACCATTTTCCCAAATCTTCCTTGAGAATTAAAACAACTAACCTATCGTTCTTCCTCGTCTAGAAACGCAACAATGTACCTAATGTACATGATGCCCGGTCTCCTCGTGAGTTATCGAACACTGTCCTTCCTCACTAATAGTTTTCATTCAGTTTGCAGCCGTTACCCAAATACTTACAAAATATGTACAAGCTCAGGTGCGTTTGAGATTATATGTTTCGTTAAATAACGATTTCCTTGTCTGGCCCATGGAATAATTCCATTTGGTATGATACTAAATGTTTGCTGGGATTTTGTCAAACCTTTGAACGGTTTTGAATAAAATGCTGTTTCTAGAACTGAAATTCGAAAATTGACACCTTTCATCATCAGTAAATGAATTGAATGGTTTTCATTGTTCATTGACCAAACACAGTAGAGCGTATACCCATACCGGTGAATTATGAAAAGTTCACGCTATGTGATTTCAGTATCATTTCAGTAGATCCAACAATATGCTACTTAGTTTTGAGAAGTATATTGTTACGCAACATAGAATCTCACTCACGTGATAAACACCTTAAGAAGTGATATGGATCTGCAATTTCAGTAGTTGCATCTTTTATAAACGATACATATTGCGCAGGGGAATTCTACCATGCTGCAGAAGCTCCCGTTAATTAGTCTATCGAAGATCAACCGAATGTTGCCGATAGTGATTATTGTCAGGAACCTGTTTTCAGCAGCAAAAGTGAGCATTGTGGTTGCCGCTGCATTTGAGCGGCGTTTGGACGAGCATTTACATTACATATGGAGAACCAACATAATTGGCCGCTGAACCTGACAAAGACTGGGATGATATAAGGTTCCACAACTTTGTCACAAATACTAAAGTTTGAAGTTATAGGCGTGCTCTTCCTGACAATTTAAGATAGCATAAGAGCAATTATATGGAAGCTACTGAAACAGACATCCCTTTACCAGACCTGTATAAGTTATCTGTAGATCTCCTTTATTTAGAAATGAAGCTCACAATTTCAATCATCCGCAAATGACCGTAAGCTAAAATATTAAATAGGAATTCCTCAAGCATTGCCCTGCTTCGGTTTACCCCGTTAGATCCTTCTTTCTGTCTATTAGATCTTGAATACCTCTTTGTAACATGGTGTCCTGTTTGAGTCGACCAATAAACGGGCTCAGATCTGTTGAATCAAACTGTATGATTTATTATTAAAGGGCATTGATATGGGTCCATTTTTATTAAAAATATTGCCCCGGGATTTTTCATATGTCACTCGTTTAACATTTAGCTAAATTCAGTGAAAAATGCTTCACCTAACATCTTCTAACGATTCTAGCCTAAAAGGTTAAGCATTCAGGTGTTCACAGGATGCAGATTATGGTCTTGAACATCTGGGGTTTGTTTGTCTCGGTATTGACGGTGATTGCAAGACCTGGCATGCTGATTATTATGTAATACAGAAAATATAATCGTTATCATAACAAATGAAGTATGCAGTACATTTTCACTAAAGAAGAACATCATCCGGTTTAATCCGTATAGAATCACGTGGCTCCAGCTCTCGTGATCGGACTGATCGGTAATCTTCTCAACGCGGTCTTGCATTTTCTACTTCTGTTTGTGGCAAAAATTGGCATCAAGTAAGCGGTTCATTTATTTTACTAAACACTGCATGATATTTTGCTCCGAAGAATTTCACGCATACGTAGACAACTCATCTGTTAGTTATTTTCTGTTAGATGAAAATAGAATAAATACTGTCGGAAACAGTTTTGCTTTAACTGAGTTAAACGTAAACCGTAAATCATAGAACGCTATATCTTGTAATTGTAAGCAATCTACTTAATTGGTTATATGTAACAGCAAACCCTTAAAACTAGCTGAATTATCTCAGTAATAAGGGGATTGCTCCATGATACTGTTGTGCAGAACCGTTGTACGTAATACTACTGACCACTAATATTCGCCGTTGACTATCGTAAAGCATTTGTTCGGGTAACTGGAGTTTTGATCGATTAACTAATTGTACTCGATTATTTTTTTTCTGACAATCTGTTCTTTCAGTGTAAATAAGTTATAACTATTTCATTCCCCAATGAAACGAAACGGGTAACGCAGAAAAAACCAACATTGCCGGGGCTTAGATCCCCAGAGAAACAACGCTTTAAATTAAATCCCGTTGGCTACTTTCATCTCCCAATGAGCTTGTAGGTTGTGCTCAGTATGAGAGTAAAATCTCAATTGAAAACAAATAATTTACTAGAAAGATCCAGTTTGTACTACAGATCACCTATCTTTTCAAATGCATCAATTGTATTGCTGTTGAAAAGTTACTATCCTTAGTAACTACTTTATATTGAATTTAAGGCGTAGCGAACAACAATATTTTCAGATCTAGCGTGCGAATTGGTTTTATTTTTGTGACCACCTTGGTTTTGTTCGTGCCTTTACGTGTCAGCAGTTGTGAGAAGTATAGATTTTTTGTCCATAAAAAGATGCATTCATTCCAATTGAAACACTTCATTGCCCTTAACCCCACAGAGGATCTGCAATCTCCCAGTCACTGGCCTACTTCATTCAAGCCACACTGTTTTTGATTTACACAAAATGTCACTCTATGTCACGAACAACGTGGTTAAGTGAGTCTCGTTTTAGCTCCACGGATACCATTGTTGTGCGGATGAAATGAATAATAATTTGCACTTTTCTTCTGTAACAACGACTTACTGCGATCTCCAAAGGATAATATGAGATGCCCTATATATGAATGAAAATTGGTTTCTTCGTGTTCGAATTAGTCAGTTGACAATAAATCTCCATGAAAGAACTAAATATGCATTGAAGTTTATGACGTATATCTCTAGGACACTATACAAAAGTCAAAGATAGAATATTCCAATCAATCAATTAACCAATCAATCAATCAATCAATCAATCAATCAATCAATCAATCAATCAATCAATCATATCTATCTATCTATCTATCTATCTATCTATCTATCTATCTATCAATTTATCTATCCGTGTCTATCTATATATCTACCTATCTATCTGTCGATCTACCTATCTGTCTATTTATCTATGGTCCATCGATTGTTTATCTATCTATATATCTATGCATATTTCTGTCTATCTATGCTATAATATCTATCTATCTATCTATCTATCTATCTATCTATCTATCTATCTATCTATCTATCTATGTCTATCTATCTATCTATCTATCTATCTATCTATCTATCTATCTATCTATCTATCTATCTCTGTATCTATCTATCTATCTATCTATCTATCTATCTATCTATCTATCTATCTATCTATCTTTAATCTATCTATCTATCTATCTATCTATCTATCTATCTATCTATCTATCTATCTATCTGTGTATCTGTATCTATCTATCTATCTATCTATCTATCTATCTATCTATCTATCTATCTATCTCTCTATCAATCTATCTATCTATCTATCTATCTATCTATCTATCTATCTATCTATCTATATATCTATCTTTCTTTCTATCACTATCTATCTATCTATCTATCTATCTATCTATCTATCTATCTATCTATCTGTCTGTCTATTTATCTATTTTTATCATCTTCAGCTACGTCTTCTGAGTATTTTCTTTCGTTGAGGTGAGATCAACCTTGAGGAAATTCACCATTTAACTCAGTCCAGGAAGTACAAAGGTGGATAAAAGGGAAATTTGCAACTTGTGATCCAGTTTTGGCAATATTTTTACATCATTTCATCTCATTTTCTATCCCATTAGGTAACCATCGATTTGATTGTCCTTTGATTGAACCAGACACCATTAGTTGAAAGATGAGCATAACATAAGTAGTACTTAGACAGTAATATAAATGAGACCAACTTTGCGTGTGTTAGAGCTCAAAATGTCTTGAAACAGACTAGTTTTTAAATATTTCAATTTTACCAATCTCTGTAGCCCGTTTTTGACATTTTGAAAGGAACTATTCAACATGAGCTCCAAGAGGTAAGCGAGCATTATTCAATGGACGGAGAAATCGGGCATATAAAC